TTTGGCTGATGGATTAACTGATTGGCTGATTGATTGATTGGCTGATGGATTGGCTGATTGATAGATTGATTGGCTGATGGATTGACTGATTGGCTGATTGATTGATTGGCTGATGGATTGACTGATCGACTGATCAAAATAGTTGATTGATTGGATTTTCATTTCGTTGTTTTCTAAATTTAAATTTGAACCAGCAACAACATCAATGAGTTTCAGTTTCTTATACATTCGTTGCCTTTAAATGCTCACTATTTTATGATTAAACAAACAACGTTGTATTTATTTTTTTGAAAAATTCTGATGTTTTTATTATATAAAATTTACATTTTTAAATTTAACTTCATTAGTATAAAATTTATGCAATAAATCACAAAAATGTTTGCTAAATTTCGATAAAAAACTAAAATTTTAAAGATTGAAATAACATGCTTCTAACATATCCGATCATATAAACGCAGATAGCACACACATTATATACAATCCATTGTATGATTTTGCCATCATTATGTATAATTAACATCATGGTTGTTTTCATCATACAAATGAATATTTGCATCAAAATTAGCGTCAACATCATCCTCATCGTCCATATTATGATTATATTATCGTTCTAATCACTATTGAAAAAGAAATCATCGTTATAATCACCCTCCTCCTCTTCTTTTCCCTCTTTCTCATCATCTCCATCATCGTTCTACTCATCACACCATCATCTTTTTCTTCTTCTTACTCATAACATCATCCTCATTTTCTTTTTCTTCTTCTTACTTATAACATCAACCTCATATTTTTTCTTTTTCTTACTCATCATCATCATCATCTTCCTACTCATCATCATCATCATTATCATAATCTACAAGAACAATATCAACTTGGATGTGAACGTCACCACCATCGTCATCCCCATTTTCAACTTGGAAGCATTAAATATTCAATCGCACAGCCTCATTAATTAAATTTGAGATGGGGTGAGGTACTTGCAGTCCTACAGGCAGACACCTCGCATCATCATCCAATCCATCAATTTTAATCAACCAACACCTATCATCAATACTATCATCACTATCACGATCTTTGTCACCATCGTTATTATCATCAATATTAATTCTCTTCTAATTAGTTCTCAAAGGAATCAAGCGCTATATATTCCTAAATTCACGTATGACATATCTTGCAATAGCAGAGCCAGACGTCTTAAGCTTTGTTTTGTTACACTATTTTGCTTCTGCACCACAACCATCACCATCATCATCATTAACAGTATCATCATCATCATCATAAGCAACGTCATCATCATCATCATGAACATCGTCATCATCATTATCATCTTAAACATCATCAAATACCACACACATCATTCTCGCTCAATGTTAATCCCTGCGATTATTTCAAAAGTTAATAATCTTCATCATCATAATTTTTGTATTCGTGTCATCATTCTTTTGTATAGGAGTATTCATTGTTGCTTTGCACCATATTAATCATTTCATATAATAAATGCCCGTGCGTCCTAATAAATGCACGCCTCATTATCATCGTCTTCGTCACCCATTCACTGATAATCATCAAAGCACTACCATCATCTTCTTCATCATCAGCATGAGTCTCATTAACATCATCGTTAATTTTGTTTTCATCATCTTCATGTCACATTGATATTTTTTCATCATCATCATCAACAACAAAATGGTCATCATCATCATCACCATCAACGAAATGGTCATCATCATCATCATCATCATGGTCATCTTCTTCTTCAATTTATTATCATTATTAATTTTTTTGTTATGATATAACATCATTTATATCCTCCCACCACCATCATACCATC